ACACACACACAGAGTCACAAAAAAAGAATGAAATCTTGCCATTTGTGACAACATGGGTGGACCGTGAGGGCATTTTGCTAACAGATTAAACAGAAAAAGGTAAATACCATATAATCTCACTTGTATGTGGAATCCAAAAAACAAAACACAAAACGAGCTCACAGACACAGAGAACAGACTGGTGGTTGCCCGAGGTGGAGGGGGTGTGAAATGCGAGAAGAGGATCAAAGGGTACAAATTTCCAGTTATAAAATCAGTAAGTCATGGGGCTATAACATACAACATGGAGCTTGTTAATTAATAATACTGTACTGCATATTTGAAAGTAGCCAGGATAGTGGTTCTTGAAAGTTCTAATCACAAGAAAAAGATTTTGTGTATGGTGATGGATGTTAACTGGACTTATTGTGGTATCACTTTGCAATATGTAGAAATATCAAATCATTACATTATACACCTGAAACTAATAAAATGTATGTCAATACCTCAATAAAAACATTTCCTAAATGAAGAAATAAAAACAAACTTATTTAAAATGAATAAGCAATTAACCATTCCATAATATGCTTGGCTATTGAAATATAGGCTATTAAATCCTATTTCAAGTTGAAATGATGAGAAAAAAACGACCCCAAGGACATGTGATAAATTCATATCTAGTTGAAGGTCTGAGACTGACCTAATATGTTAAACCTCAGCCCCAGAGGGCTAATGTTCTCCCAGAGCCAAAAGAGCCCCAGGCACAAAGGCGGTTCAGTTCCTGAAACCCTCCCCTGAGGGTTCTTCACAGAGATCAAATCCTCATGTAATTAAGTATTCAACTTATTTTTTAGACATTATTATGAAGCATACATAAATCTGTAGAGGCAATTTTTTCCCCTTAATTAAGAAATACTCACAGGGGGCTCAACGAAAGGGACGGACTCCCCAGCATTCTTTAGCAAAACTGCGTAACGTTTCAGAAACAGGTCATCCAATTTTATATTCTTTGCAGTCAAATTTTCATACAGTGCTTTGGCAGAGGAGACATCATTGTCCAAAACTGAAGAAAAAGATATTAATCATAGATAAAGACAACTTATCTTCCTCTTTTCCCCAAACACTTAGTCATTCAGGGACTCCCAGATCCCTTTGTCCCAAAGCAAAGGGATACTTAGCTATCTTTAAGCAAACAGCCACATTCAGAATCTACAAGCTCCCTCACTCCTTCCCCACGCCTCTCATTCAGCATTATTCATTATGAAAGAGAAGGAAATTATAAGTATGACTATTTTAAAAGATCCGTGATAGTTCAAGTGACCACAAACTGAAGTCCTCAACCACAGAGTAAGCACACACCATTCAGTCCTCTTCTGCTTAAAACCACACTTCGAAATCAAGCTAATTCAGGAACTGTTGTGGTGAGGGGCATGTAAATTATGCGGAAATCTGTATCTATATTAGTATCAGATAAACAACAGCAAAAAGGCTTTCAACACATTCTTCTGTTATAAAATAAGCCAGTATGAATACAGTTAGCTACAATGACCAAAAAAAAATCCATATTATGATCAATATACATAAAAAAATCTATATGCATCTATAAACTATTAACAAGTTACACTAACATTTCAGTTAAATGGATGATGGAGTAGCCTTGGAGCTAGGGTTAGCTGGCTCTCCACTTGTGGCTGATTTGTGGAAATTTTAAGTTTACTGTTAAAATTATAGGGGGCTCTGCTAACAATCACTGTCAGTAATTGTTAACATCTAAGCCCCTTATAACCCGCTACCCTCCGCTGATGCTCTACAACCAATCCAGCTCTGGCAGCACCAGGGGGAACCTCCAGGATGTGGGAAGTTTAGGCATTGATCCAGGGGTCTCCCAAAAGGGAGCAAGTGTGCAGGCCTCACTAGCTGTCACTGGAGTTGAACAGATCTCTGCATGTTGGGTGAAGTCAATGTCCTATGTGTAAATCCTTAGTTCCACTCCCTAGGGGACCAAATCCTTTCCTGCCACTGTCAAGGGCTCAGCTCAAACTCTACCCCCTTCCAGGAAGCAGCTCAGAAAACACCTCCATCTTCCCTTCCTGATCTCCCTTTTCCTCTCCTTCCCACTTCCCAAGTGGGATTACACAATTTAGTAGTTTTATGCTGTTTGACCATATTTCATGTTATTTAGTTACTATTTAATATCTGCCAATTCCCCAAACAGAACTTTGAGAAAGCTTATAATAGCTGTTTTGAAATATATCATGTTTCCCTCGCAAGGGTGGAAAAACAGGGAACCAATTTACTAATTCTGACTGCAGTCTGCTATCCTGCCAACAATAAAAATAAAAAAAGCAATTCTTCATTTACACCTTGCCTCAAGTGAGCAAGTCATTGGGTGACAGACAGATGGATGATCAAAACTTAGGTGTGATAACATTTACCTTGGTTACTGAGAAGACTTTAGACTGGTTCCCTTTCACATGCCATGGGCTGGCAATCAGAGAACAAACTATGTACTTATAGGATGGGAATTTCCACTGTGACTTAAGGTAAAACCTTGGAACCCACTTTTTAGTTATTTCAAATGCCACTGCTGTTTCAAAGGTCTACTAAGTATGAAGGAGCAAGAAGGCAAGCCAAGTGATCATCTCAAGTGTGTACCCATTCATGTGATGTTTCAGGTGGCAGTGCCTTGAGGAGACTGGATTGGTTCCCAATATGTAAACTCAAGAGGACTTACAAGTCTTCCCAGGAGCCTAGGATTGTACTGAACACACCTGGGCCTCTCTGAAAATACTCAGTGATACTTCTTTATGTTAAAGTTACATGAATAATTTCATATTTTTCTTATAGTTTTAAAACACATTCTAAAGCTAAATAATTTATATCATATAAGTACTTGATATTTAGGATTACTGTCTTTGAGCTGAAGACTAACTCTGAGCTGAAGTCAACTATAGTAGACTATATTATAAATATTTAAGTTACTTAAATAAATAATCAGATTAAACTTATTACCATAACTTTTCATGATGGAACTGTATGCTTCTTCCTTTTCAGTTAATTCAGGAATCAATTCTAACAAAGATTTCAATGCCGGCGACTAGAAAATTAAATACAGGTAATGTTACCAACAATTCAAAAGAACAGTGAAATAGAACACTGAGATATAGGCATTATATAAGAAAATCGTGACAATAATGATAAAAAAAACTACCTACTCAATTTAACGTACTATTTTCCTTCTGTATATACACGCATACCTCACAGATATTGTGGGTTCAGTCCCAGACCACTGCAGGAAAGCAAGTATCACAATAAAGCGAGTCATAATGTTTTTGCTAGAGGGTCTTGACTTCAATTTGTAAAATAAATGCAATATCTTTGAAGCACAATAAAAGGAGGTATGCCTGTATCTTAGTATTTGATGTTGATTTAATAATTTACAGCCAAAACAAGCATTTTTAAAATTCCCATTTCCATGAATACGTTTCTAAAATATTATAAAGATTGCTTCTCTTGTCAGTTGGTAACCATAGCAAGAATTTATGAGACCCCCCCAAAAAAAGAAGAGATAACAACAATTGTATCTTAAGGTACCAAAAATTTTGGGTGAAATGTAAAAAATTCAATCAAAGTTTTGAAGTTTTCCTTTCTTGGTACGAGATGTGATAAAAACAAAATACAGTGAATGTTTAAATTTTAAAAAATTTACTACAGAAAAAGACACATTGCCATTAAGCTCCCTCAAAATACTCCACTCCTCCTCATTTTGAACAAACTTATCCCATCATTCTTGCCACTTTCTGAAGCAGTTCTGGAAGTCCTCTTTTGTGTCTTCAGTTGCGCTGTCGTGGTTGCCTCGATGTCCTGAATCGATTCAAAACATTTTTCTTTTGTGGTCATTTTGACTTTGGGGAAGAGCCAGAAGTAGCATGGTAGCAGATCCGATGAACAAGGTGGATGGGGACACACCGTAATGTTTTGATTTGACATAAATAGCCATACCAGAAGCGATGTGTGAGATGGAGCACTGTCATGATGGAGGATGAAGTAAAGACACTCACGAAAGAGGACTTTCAGAACTGCTCAGGAAGTGGCAAGAACGATGGGATAAGTGTGTTTGACGTGAGGGGGAGTATTTTGAGGGGGATTAATGGCAATGTGTCTTTTACTGTAATAATTTTTTTCTAAAATGGAAACATTCACCGTATTTTGTGATCACGCCTCGTACATAAATAAAGCTTTTGCAGACCTCACTGGAATTCTTACTTAATTGCTTTCAGGTTTTAGTTCCTGTAGTGAATACAGAACTGCCACACCCTTATGAATAATCACGGAATATTTCCAAACACTCAATATTGCTGGATAAACCATAAAGGTGGATTTTATGTAGCTTTATGCTCTGTTCCCATCTCACCCAGAGAAGCTAAATGTGGCTTAATTATTCTACTGTCAAACAGGTAGAGACTGTAATTGGAATTTTTTAAAATCCTAACTCACTTTTTGGCATGTTTATTCAGTCTACACCTGGACCTGCATCTTTCAAAGACTTCCTGTAATTTAAAGTCTCCTGGGAAGAATGTTCTAAACAGGTATATGACTGTACATTTCCTGTCCCATCATCCAAGCAAAGCAAGGAGGTACTTGGCATAGCCCCACATGTGAAGTGACACACGTTTTTCAGATTCTTTATACTTTTAATCACAAATTTAAAAAAATAGTGTCTTTGATAGGTAAAAAAAAAAAGGGAGCAACTAAACATTTTCAAAAAGTTGTTTGTTGTAAATAAATACATGAGCCAAAGATAAAATTTGCAATTAGGTATATATTTTTTATCAGTATGTGTTATGTCTATGGGACGTATGCAGAAATTAAAGAAAACACAGATCTCCCAGGCTAGAAACAATCTAAGTATTTCATAGTGAAACAAACATTACAATTGGCACTCAATTTGAAACCTCATAATGTGCCCAAATAAACTAAGAACGGGGTTCCTGTTGCTCAACAGTAAAATCAGATCTAAATTTTTTTTTTCTTGAAAATATGCTTTTGTTCTTTTTTTTTAACATAAAAAATAGTACCTGTTCGTTTTACACACCACCCACATGCATCTTTTAGTGTGCAGAAGGTAACTGTACAAATTGAGAACGTTAATTTCTGGCACATGCCAGTTTTCAATCCAAATGGCTAATCTACCTGACGGTTTATATCTGACAAATGGTCAAAAATAGCCACCTGATGGGAGCAGAGCTTCTGCACTATGAAACGTCCCAAGTGACCAAAGCAACAGGATTTTTAGCTTCCATTTCTTTGGGCCCTTTCTTGGGGCTCTTAAGGCACAGCTACTCACATGGAGAATTCACTGCATGAATTTATTTGCATTTCCAGTGCAACTAAGGAGCCAGAACTGTTTGTATCAACATTTAAAAATGTAAACAAGTACAGACGAGCAAAGTCTTCGATCTCTATGGTACTTTCAGATAAGGTCCTGAACCAACAAGCTCTTACATGATACTCAGACCTTTGAAGTTGGCTTATAGCATCACTGATTGCCAGAAACTAAAGTACAGTACCTTTCCCGGTCTCCGAGAACTCCTGATACAGAACACCAAGAAAATTGGGGTTTGTTCAGCAATTGCACCACATCTCTAAAAATTGAAACATTATTCAGTTAAGTCAAGGTTTTTGATAAACAAGCAGACCAAGGTGAATGTTTCCAATTAAGAAAGTTCACAATAATACAGTAATGTATCATTACCAATAAAAAGGCCTCAGAGTCCATCAACTTTTTTTTTAAGACAAGAAAAAAGATAACAAGTGCTAGCTATGCCAGGCTTTTGTGAATGTTGTCCTTGGCATTGCAAGTATAAAGTTTGTTTAAAAAGACAAGGGAAAAATTAAACTAATGCTTCAACAACCACAGAATAAGGTTTACGACTGCAAAGAAAGAGGAAAAAAAGAAACACTATTCCTCTCCAATTATACTGCCAAGCATTCACAAGTGAGCTAGGGATCATAAGGTTAATTATACATTTAATAAGGTGTCAGGGAGATAACTGCTCGTTTCTTTATAAAAATTAAAATGTACAAAGCAAGTTCTCTTTAAAGTATAATTACCTACACTTATGCATACAAAAGGACTGATTTCAATCTCTCTATTTTATAAAAGGCTTTCATTGCAACAGACAGTCAGTGCTTGAGAAAGAGACAAAAGTTAAACTCAAAAAAAAAGTTTATATGACAGACCAGATAAATCAAGTGTCTATCCAATCTTAGAAGCTATAGTAAAATAAAAAATGGCAAGACAATATTTTAGTTTACATTCTTCATAGATGTCATTATCTTAAGTTTCTAAAAGCACATTCCTCTTTCAAAGCTTTAAAACACTGTCAATACTAAAGCGAATAGTATAAAAAGAACTTTTGGGGACACACAGAACATTTACATTATAAACTGATGTTTTTGACATCTGTGAATAAAGTATTCTTCACCACAGCAAGAATAATCTTTTCCTGTTTGACAAGCAGGTAGAGGATGGGTAAAGGGCTTATCATCCGAAACCTCAGTCTATTGAAGGGATGAAAACGAAAGACTGCAGCTGTTGTATCGATGCTCGGCTGTCACCAAGAGCCCCCAGATAGGCCGCTGCGGGCAAATGCAGCTCTGAAGGCAGCGGGCAGCATCCCTGTCGTCTCCCACCCCAGGCTGCTGTCAGTTGTGCTAAAAAGAGCTTGGAAAGGTTCCGGCTCAGAACAAGCTGGGAGATGAAATACCAAGCTCCACTTTCTAAACAACAATCCAAGGATGTGTCTAAGTTGAATGATGCCTGCCCCGTGTGTAATTAGATGCACACATACCCCTAGTAGGTACACTGTACATGCAAAGATAAAGCATTGAAGTTTACTGCTTTCAAGACAGAACTTGTAACACTATAAAGACAGCAAGATAAAACAATGAAAATATTCCTGAATTCCCTACCATACATTGACTTTTCTGTAAAAAAAAGGGAAACAAAACAAGAAAACTCCCAATTAACTGGACTTTCTCTCTGTCCAGAAACAAAAGTAAGAAAGCCTTAGAGGCAGAGTCAATTTAACACTTTGTACAGAACTATTTATAGAGCTATTTCTCAGGCGCTCCTTTTAAAAATGGCTTGGGTTCTGCTGTCAAACTAGATGAACTTGAAGGATCAAAACTGGAGCACGAGCATACAGGTCGTTTTACCATCCCTATCTCGCACTCGTAAAAATGTTAAGTGAGTATCATACTATTTACTATCAGAAATTGGTCCCAGGCCTCAATTTGACACAGGGAGTCTACACAAACACAGGCGTTGGCAGGATCCTGGCGACTGTTTGACTGCCACCTGCTGGGAAGGGGCCCCCAGCGGTGCCTGTTTGTGTACACTGCCAGTGGCAGCTCGGCTCACCCACCCCTCTTTCGATTGCACTTGGAGCAGCTTTCATTTAGTGCTGCTAAAATGGCATGAATGCCGTTGTCTCCTTCCCTGAAGATTGCTACTTTAACTGAGAGTAACAGGCCACAGAGACCTGCATTTGTCATTTAATGTGTCTGTGACACACAAGTGAATAGAAAGCAAATTCGACTCTTAATACATCTTGAATAAGACACTGAGAATGTTTGAGTATTCAAGTGAGAAGCAGTACTTGAAAAGGAAACATTTCCTACTTTTTGTTTGCAAACTGTGTTGCCATGGTGATACACAGTATTTAGAGCATTAGAGAAATTAAAGTAGAAAATCAAAGGAATTGTTCTGCATTACTTATCTGCACAAAAACATTTGTCTTTAAATCATTTTAGCAAAACAAGTCTTCCCTCACCTCCCTCACCCCCTAAATCTAAGGATATTTCTAGTCTGATTTGGCACCTTTAACACCAGCAACCTACAACTTCCAATCCAGTCCTTGTCATGCAACCTTGATTCACAATGCATTTAAATCTGCTTGCAGCACCACACTTCATTTCTGGTATTCTACCCCACATCTGTGACTAGCAATTTCTCAACTTCTCACAAGCCATCAGCCCCAGCCTCACTGCTCCACGTGTGGTGGGTCATTCATTACCTGTAGAAGAGCTCTGGCATCGTCCACCTTGCCTGAGTCCACAAACTGAAGGAAAAGGTCAGTGACGGGTTTGTAAACTGCAAACTGATTGGCCAATCTCTCTGCCATGATGCTTACTGAAAAAAATGACAGGTAAGAAAAATCTTTTGTTTCAACAGTGGTATAACTCATCTGCCAAAGAAATGTGGTCCAGTCCCACTAGAGAAAAAATGTGCTTCTTTCTTTTTTTTTAGGAAGAACAGCTAACTTACTCTTTTCAACTGCTGGTTCCAACTGCTCCTCTATTACTTTTCGGAATAAGTACGCCAAGCCAAAGTACTGGGGTTCCATGGTTTGATTCCCCGAAGTAAGCATATTTTCAATGTTTTCTATTGCAACATCTATGTTATTGCTGTAAAAAAAAGTCAAATAAATTATAAAGAAACATTTGCTCTTTTATAATAACATCACAGGCAGTTTTGGCATGAGAACTTACTTTGGGATTCATACATACAAATGCTTTAGGAAAAAAAGGAAATACATTTGCAATTAACCCAATACAAAATACTATGGAAGTTGAACCCAATCAAATTTTATGGAGTAAAAGCAATCACTCGGTGGTTTATGCTACAATAACTGAAGCAGTTCTTACTTGAAAACACTGCTCTAGAGACAAGATGAAACAACTATATGTAGAAGCATTAATGATAACTTGAGAATACAATGTTAAGATACAATGTTATCTTAAATATTTAATTTGATGTCCAAGCTCTTTGGATGTAAAATGAAAACTTGTTTAAGTGCTATCCTTTGGCTTTATAATCTAAAACTGGTCACTACTGCATAAAGTAAAGACAATATACACCATCTCGGGATTCTTAAAGATGATGATGATGTCTTTAAAAGGTGTAATTTCATGTCTCTCAACCCAGTCACAACGATTTGTTTGTGTCAGGTATTACCGAACATTTGAAAAATATTCAATTTATAATAAAATTCTTAGGAAAAAAGTATCCTCACACTAGACATTTAAAAATCAATTACTTGGCCTTATTTAACAAGCTACAATAAAAATTATCTTTTTGACTTTTCTTTAGTTGTTACTTTACAGTTATGGCATTCCAAATCCAAATACTTTTATGTTAGAATTATTACCTAAAACATTAGAATTCTCTAACTCAAAATGAACACCCCATTACAATAAATTTTTCTTATGAGTTTTAGTTAGAAAACTATTTACTAGTGAATAAAAACATTCTCCACGTCATATAAAACTGTGTTTATATGTTAACATTTTAAAATTCAACCAGCTCTTACTTGGATAATTTCTTTGGATCTTCCTACTTAAAATAATAACATTTTCTTATTAAAGGGAAAGTTTAAAGTTCTACTTGGGGATATAGTTTTAAAAGGGAAAACAAACAAAACACAACTTCTCTGCCCAAAGAAATAGGAACAAACAAAAAACCCCTGAAAAACAAACATGACATTTCAATATCACAACCCATGAAATGTTTATAAACGTAACTACTAAAGTACGTTTTTTTCTAAAGGCATGAAGAGGGTTGCTAATTATCCCCATGAATCTTTAACTTGAACAAAGTACTTTGCTTGTGTGATTGATAAAAATCAAGTTCTTATTTACTTATACAGTGATGATTCTCAACAAGGAATCGAGAGATGGTGGGAAAGCACTCGCCTCTAAATACCTCCCTTTTGTGAGTGTGTGTTCACAGAGGTGGATGGGTAAGAGGGTGAAGAAAACGAAAAACATATTTGTAACAAGCTTGCTGGGCCCTGTTTCACAGTGTTCTATAGAGTGTTACCCTCAAGTGTTGCTGACAACCAATGAACTCATTCGCTTCTGTAACAAAGTATTAAAAGGGCCTGGTATATATGTAAGAGAAGTTACCAACCACAGAGCAAAATTTATGAATTTGAAAAATTTGACAGATGTTCTTTATTTTAAGATTTACTTTAAAGCTAAAACACATTTTGTAACATATAATAAATTATTCCCTAATAGTGAATAATCAGCATATTTCCTCTGTAGTTGATATGGTTTCTAATAGCTTAAAAAAATTTTTTTAAGGTGGTATTTGAGATAATGCTCCGTCTAGTATCCAATGGAGGAAACGAAAGCTTGAAAATACTCACTTCTTTATTTGTGCCAAAGCAATGTTATTGATGAAAACCATGTTTGAAAGTCCAATTGAATCTTCGAGTCCATTTACCATCTTCTGAATCGCCTGTATGCTTTCTAAATCACCCTTCAAGGCGCATGCCTGAATCACACGGGTCACTGCTATCCTAGACGGTGTCTGCTTCAGATCCAAGGCCGTTTTTAGCGTTTTTAGAGCCTCTACAATAGAAGAGCAGGCAACAGAGTTTTTCTCATAAAACTGCACTGACTTAAACGCATTTTGAAAACCAGTTTTTAAATATGAGCACCAAATGGCTATACACCAAGTGCTATGTAATTTATTCTAGCTTACAGGAAATGTTAATACTTTATAAGAAAATGAAAGAAAAAATTTGACTATAAGATATCAGAGACCAGAGAAATTTCTTCTTAACCTCACAAATGTTACTGACAGAATGTGTGTACCATTCAAAGATGACATTTAGTGACTAATTTCAAGGAAGTTGACAAGTTCAGAAAAATACAAATAAGAATTTTAAAAATTAAAGAGTTGCCAAAAATATGTAATTTCTACCCACATTCATACTTTCCCAGATTTTATTACACTCAAAAGATTACATGATTATTAAAATCTTCTAAGATTCCCAAGAGTCTTTCTTGAAAACAATGTCTTTTCTAGTCCAAACAGGATCGATCACACAGGAGCAGTCAAAATGGAACACTCGACTGTCACAAAAACAAATTTATTTTACACAATTAAATAATGCCTTGTAGATATTTTCTTGTACTCATTTTCCAAAGAAAATAAAACTTATCAGATTTCCATGGATATAGCCACAGTTTTTTCTTTAAAGTATCATAATTATCTGATTATTGATAAATATGGAATAGCCTTCTGATTTACTAACTTATGCACACATATATGAAATCATTATATTATATTAAATACAATGGTGGATTGGGGGGAAATGTTACGCTAATGCTTAGCATAACAATCACCACTACCGCTACAGAAGAAAACTTCATGACTTTACAGCAACTAAAGCAATGTAACCTAGACAAAACTAAGGCTCTCAAAGTAGCTTTTGGAATAAGAACAGCCTATCTTTCACACAAGAATGGGAAAAGAGTAATAACTAAACAGTCTACTAAAAGTGATATAGTAAAAGACATAATGAATTTGGTGTTTATCACTGAATAAACAGTTCATAATTATTTCAAATCTACAATCAAAACCTGTGACTCTCAAGTGGAGCAAAGAGGAAAGGCATATTCAAGAATATTTTATAAATCCATAAGTACATATAGGAAACAAAAATGCTATTAATATTATTTTAATAATATAATCTATAGAAAATAAGCTTGATAAAATCTTCACTGGTGGTCATACACAGATTATCAACTTCAGACTTTTTTTTTTTTTTTTACAAAGTAAAACTTTATTTGGAAATGCATCTCTTTGATGGATGGGACTATTATTTGTCTATTTGTTCCTGGTTCTTGCATGACTATTACCAACTGCTGGAATGAGACAGGATTCAGGGAAATTCACAGTAAGAGAAAGTATCAGGCTACCGGTAAGTGCAGGGTTTACACGAAGTGTTGCAATGATCAATGCTAAGTAAGTACACATTGTGTACAGAACAATATACTTTGTATTCTGGTAGGAAGTAATCAACAAGTAGAGACGTGGTTGCCAAGTGCCAGAAAGGATATTTATTACTAACTAATAAAACAAATACCATTTTTAAGATTCCATTGATTTTTTTGGGGTGGGTGGGTGGGGTAAAATACAGGCAAATGTTTATCCTATGAATAATAAATGTTCAAGAAAACACAAAACCCTTTTTACCTCCAATATGTTCCATTTTCTAAAGATATGTTGAGGTATCAGAAATAACATAAACATTTTTATGTTTAATTCTTTCAAATCAGGTAAAATACCCATGAATATTCTTTTAATCAAGGATACTGTTGGCTAGGGAGGGTCGTCCCACCAGTGCATCGAAAGAATAACAAAAAATAAGATAATGATGATGATGATGATAGTAACTAGCATTTAATGAGCTTTTACTATATTTGAGCATTTACTAGATGCCAGCACAGTAGTAAGCAGCTACGTTCGCAACTACCCTTCCGAGGTTAAGTACCAATTTCACAGGTGAGAAACGGGAAGCACAGAGTTTAAATTTAAATAATTTGCCCAAGGTCATACTGCTAGATCCTAACCCAAGAATCTAACCACCCCAGAGCCTGCATCTGTGTGTGCATGGGACCTTAGAACCTAAATCATATTCCCACATAGGACCTGCCTTCTATACAGTTTATGACTTAAGGGACACCAAAAATAGTACCCATCCAACATCCCACCCCCAGGTCTTTTCACACTGTCACCTAATTTACTAGTAATATTGATTATATTGCAAGGTGCCATGTATCAGCTATTAATATTCCAGAAGACTGTTAGCGTATAAAATTAGATTAAGATTGAAATGGCTGTATTTGTCTTCCTGCTTTAGATGGGATTGAGAAAAAGAAACCTGAAAAAGAGAAGAGGATTTTAAAAATTGGGAGCTCTAGTCAGCCACGGAGCAAAATAAGGAGATGCAGGTCGTGCCAACAGCGTTCCCACCCTCGCTGAAGATCATTTTACTCTAGGTTAGTCTGTGGAGAGGCACGTGAGGTGGGCTCAAGGCTCCTGTTCTCAGCTAGCCTCCGGCTGAACTGAACATCTGAGAAAAACAGATGTGAAATTTATTCAATAAAGCTCCTTGCAGTTTTCACAGGGCACCTAACTTAAGTAAAGGGAAGTAGTCAATTTAAAGAAATTCAGTTTAGATTCAGCTCAAAAATTAACACCTTGAAATTAAAAAGTGTTTTATTCTTATCTCCATGTCTACAGAGACATAAGCTATTTACGAATGAGCTTCCCTATATGTGAGCAAGTTTAATTTTTCAGTGTTTTAAAACTGCTTATAACTTCTACATAAAATATCAATTTGAGAGAAAGCCCTTTTTTTACGGAAAATAAAATGAAAGCTTTTAAAGTTTTAATAACAAGCCCTATATCACTCAGTTATGACTTAAGCTGTCCAAAAAGACTGTCTACATGGGCCGGCCCTGCCTGTGGAACGCTGAGGGAGAAGTCATCACCTACATGCTCCGTTCTAATCAATTAGGAAGATATCTAAAGACCAGATTCAGGTAATACAAGCAACATTAAAGCTGCACAATTAGCAACTTTCTCTGAGGGATATGAAATTATTTTATAAACATGCGAGTGAGGAATAATACCATTATTATCGACTGAGGAAGACACAAGGCGACATATTTAACAGTTAAAGAGCTTTTTCAACCTTCCTTAAATATTTCCTAAGCTGTTTGTGTTGTATTGGCAAAACTGTGGTGTTACTGTGCTGACTAAAATTCAAATTCACAAACGAAACATGAAAAGATGCTTACCTAAATTTAGATTCATCATTTTCCCCCTTGGGAGCTTAATCCTAAGACCTCCAGATCCAAACCCATCCCTCTACAAACCTATAAACAGCCTCCACCAAACAAACGGCCCCCATCCCAATCCTCCCCAAAGTTATCTTCACATCTTCCTTGTATTATCCTCTTCATATTAATTTTAAAACTCCAAATTCCAAACTCCAAACAAACACCGTATTTTATTGCTGTTGGTATTATGGACCATTAAAAAAGTATTAGATTAAGTTTAAAAAATCAATATTATAATCATTTGGCGCACAATCTCACCTATTTAACACTCAATTTAACTCATTTGCTATCTCATACACAACCAACACAATACGCAAGAAACAACTGCTGGGAATTGTTTCAGATGCTCTAAAGTATGTTAATTTCCAAAGCAAAATGACTTGTGCTGTGAATTTTAACGTACTTGAAAGCCTGTACTTTCTCTCGTCCTGGAACACAAATTTTGCATGTCTGAAGAGCTGTGATTCATCTTAAGAAAACCCATCTTGTGTTAAATGGAATGGAAACTGGACTAAGTGGTCAAATGACAAGTACATTCATATTCAAGCTGTATTATAAATGCGTGTACAGTAATTTACGTCTCTCAGCTACCACAAAAGGCTCTTGATAAGCAGGTAATTTGCTAAATGGACTCCTTTATCCAAGTATTCGAAGGGCGTTACAAGAAAAATGTGCAGAGGCATTAATGTGACGTAAAGGTCAAGCATTGTGACATACCTTTCAAATAATCCCGCCTAACTTGCGTTATGATGAGGAGGCTGTTGGCAGCGTCGTTCAGTGTGAAGCCCTTGATGTGGGTCTCCGCGCTAAAAGAAGCAGACATTTAGAAAGGAATTACTGACATGCTTCTGATACGATAATAAATGGTTGAGCACCAAGGTGAAATTATAAAAACTACTGTTCGTATGTTAAAAATATTGCTGCAAAATATCGACCTGGAGACAGCTTTTGTGTTATCCTGTCAATGGTTATAGAAGGATAATTTTTTTTTGCATTCTGACAGATGACAAAGTTGGAAATGAGCAACAAAAGAAACAAAGTACAAGATTTTTTTTAAACAATCGGTTCGGATTCTTGAATGCTGACATATTAGATGACTAAAATAACTGCATGCCCTGCATTGTTCTGCGGTATCCTAAGCTGGATACTTTTCCTTCTTTTTTCTGCATTCACCATAATTATAAAATGTAAAACTATTCTTTCGGCAACAAAAGTGAACATTTATTTTCAGCACTGCATATTTTAAATATAAACTAAAGCATATTACTAACGAACACCGTATCATTTGGTTGATTAATTTTCAAGTTTCTGTCATCCGGATACATAGTTTTTAAAGGTGAACATACTGTAGCACTAAAATCATTGTTACATTAATATTAAAAAATTTCATACAACAGTCTTGCCCGGCCTTAAATTTAAAACATCCCACCCCCAACTTTTTAAAACTCATGAGCAAAAAATTGCTTACTTATGACTAAACCCTACATGATTTTAAAAAAAACAAGCAAACCCTAGCCAGAGATGATTTCTGTTTGCTACACTGTTTGCACATCTCCTGTGATGAAATTTCAGCATCCTTAATGCCCCCAGGGTTCATCTTCCGATTAGGCAATCTCCACAGGTCAAAAGGAGCAAAAGCAATTGCTGCCATTTGCCTCATCAAGCTCGGTGACGATCTTGCTACCAACAACCTCAGCCTGCCGACATGAACATCTAAGCTGGGCAGATTTCGAGAACAGCAGGGTCACTACTAAATTATTTTCCTCAATCCCAAGAAAATCCTCCAAAGACACGGTGATGTACCCATCCTCTCAGTCACTTGCAGCCTCTGAGGCTCGCCCCTGCAATACCCCCCGCCCCCACCCACTTTGCAGGATTTGCTTAAGGTGCCCCCATCCTTAATCCCAGCAAAGTACCCATTGCTCAGTTTGACTTTTTTCCTTTGTCCCATCTGTCAAAGCTTTTAAGTCAACAACTCGTCCATGAGAGTATAAACTGCATAAAAGGAAGGATTTATTTTCTCAATCTTTAGCATGATTAAATAAGCAGTAGACACTATTAAAACTAAGGTCACTTCTTATGCCGACATTATTGCATTATTACATGTATTATACCATATTTACTTGAAAATATTACCTAAAATTTATTAAAACCATGAGGTAACAAAACTTCTCTTTTAACTGACATCAAGTATGAATTACAAACCTTTCGGAGAACATTTTCTTTCCTATCTCAACAAGCTTCCTATTCAATACAAATATGAAAGTGAGATAAATAGAAGGGGAAAAAAACTCTGTCCAGCTCTATTATATACTGAACATATATATTTTACATATGTAGAAACCAATCAATTGCATCCAAAGCATATGCCGAACTGGCAAAGGTAGAAAAACTACAAGAAGTTACTGGTAGAGATCTTTGTGTTGGACTCATTCATATGATATGATAAAAGAAGTTTAGTTCTGACCCATAATTCTGATCTTTCCTTTTGGAAACAAATCTAGTCCAGAAATGTCAAGTCAAACTTCCTGTGATGATGGGAATATTCTTTATCCATGTTGTCCCATAGGGCAGTCACTAGCCACATGTGGCTATATGTGACAGAGGAATGGAAATCTTAATTATATTTAATTTTCATCAATTTAAATTTAAACAAGCACATATACCACATATACTATAGTGGCTACTGGACTGAACAACACAGGATTCTAGACATTTTCTTTCATTTTTAGAAGTGCCAAAATAAAGGAAAAAACTACAGAGGATAAAGGGCATCAACCTTTTAACTTATAATCAACTGCAAAAATTAGCCTGTCTTAACCAAAGAAAATAGTATTACATGGGAGTTTCACATTAGAGATTTCAGAGCAGTAACTTGTCTATTGGTTGTAGTTACGTAACATGTACATAGGATATTAGCTGGTGGTTGTAATTTATCTTACTTTGGGTAACAAAAACTGGCCAGTCCAGTTTAAACTATCATTGATTGATTAATTTAGCACTATTTAGATAGAATGAACTAAGAAGCTGATAGGGACAGGAGAAAACACAGTGCTATTCTCGAAAGAGAAAGCAGAGCTATTGCTGCGTAATTCTCAAATTTCCTAAGAATAGAGTTTAGTGTTATCAGAGATTGAAAATAATAATTTATATCCCTTACTGCTCTTTGAATAAGCAGCTCCCCTCCCTTGGAAGAATTTACTGTATCCAAATTTCTATTTTGAAACATGAAGGGATATAATTCTAAATGAAAGTGAAAGCAAGGTGGTTTCTTAAAATTTTTAAAAGGCAGTTGTTGCTATTATTTTTGAGGTTCCATTGCTTGTTGGGGAGGTTAATTGACCTTGTTACAAAACTGAAGAAATTTCATTAGAGGTCAAGTGAATGTGCAACACATTAAGACAACAAAGGTATATAGAAAAACAAAGATTGCACTTTTTAGTTCATAGGAAAGACTACTGCTCTTAAGACTGAACAAGTGGCATCGTGTAGGTAATTATAACAACAAGCTGCTATTTATGGACTGAGAGTAATAGCACCAGAAAAATAATAACGGGTACTGCCTCTCGTTACAGGGGCTCATCTGGTTACATCATATAATAATAAAGATGCCTATAAAACAAAACAACCATTCTTTTCTACTGTGATCATGGATACAGATCTGGAAGGGGAAGAGATAACATGGTCTCATGTGGGCAATGAACCAGGAAATGAATCCAGGGAAGTTACATGACATTCCTCCAGTAACCTATTAATTAGTTGGAGAACTAAGGCTACAACTTACACTTCTGAATTCCTAGTCCAGTTATTTTCAAAAGGACTCAATGTGGACCTAACCCAAGATACAATCCTTCATAGTCAGATACAACATTTTATTGGTTCAAGGAAAAGATGTGTGCGCAATCCCTAGATTAGGTGCTTTGGGCTTTCTGAAGCTTTCTATCTAGGATTCTCTCGGGCCCACACAGCTACATGGGGAAGGCAGTACCCCTGGAAGGATAACGCAGCTAAGGTAACAGTGCCCTCAAGTATACAAAGGCTTCATGACCATCTGGACAGGGAGGGAAGGAAAGAAGATAGACATACTTTTTACAGGTTGTGGGCATAAGAGGAAATAGAAGGGCTGTGCTTATAAACCAAGACAGCAGCTTGTACCCTTGTTTGATCAAGATTCAAAACACAGTAAGAAATGATGCTCTTCAGTCCACACCAGTGCAGATACACACATGTAACTGAAATAAAACTTTTACAAAGTAGCATCTTTACCACATAAAAAAGTGCTGATATCTTCTATTCTACTTCATTTAAAAAATGTTGGTTGTCCCACTAAATAGATCCCATGACCCACTAATAGGTCATTTTGAAATTTTGAAATTTGCAGTTTGAAAAACCACATTTGCCGTGTATAATGCACTTTTTTGCCCAAATTTGTGAAGGAAAACTAAGGATGCGAATTATAAATGGGTAGTACTAATACCATTTCCCTAAAAGTTTGGACCAAAAACGTGGGTGCGCATTACACACGGCAAAATACGGTACATCAGTGGTCTTCAATGGAAGGTATGTATACTGTGTGAATGCTTTAGGGCAGCGGTTCTCAACCTTCCTAATGCCGCGACCCCTTAATACAGTTCCTAATGTTGTGGTGACCCCCAACCATAAAATTATTTTCGTTGCTACTCTATAA